ATTTTGCATATCTGTATTGAAGTGTTTTGACAACATCAAAGTCGCTATTTCCATTCAATGAGCTGTGGTAAGAGGCGGCTATGTTTTCTGTATTTAGGCAAATTATTAATGTATTGCTTAAAAAAAACAAACAAGCAAAACAGCTCCATAAAGTCTTTAATATTGGATTTTAGCATTGCATACAAAGTTATGGCTCTTCTTCGTTACAAGAAAGTAGAATAATTCGCAAGTAGTGTATTTTTCTTTTCAATATCGTCACCTTCAGATGTGAGTCGCGACCTTTCGACTGAACACTTCAAGTGTTCTTCTGGCAATAGAGTGGACTGATTATGCGTCACCTTATGAAGCATTCTATGGACCAATTTGCGTTTATCTCTTCTGATTTATAAAAAAATTTACCTTCCTCTGCGACATCCGCACCAGGCTCATGCGCCTTCTCTTCTTCAGCTTTTCTAGCTTCTTTAGAAAATTATTTTTAATTACAAAATAAGTTAGTATTAAGTCATTAAATCTTTTCTTTGTACTTAGGGATTAGAATCATTAATGTTTCACCAATTTCTACACTAGAATTTTTCCAGTGACTACCAAGGTAAAAGAGATGTTGTAATTATTCAGAAAATGCCTTAATCTCTTCAGTAACCAATCAAAAACCATTATCTTCTTTGCCTTTGTTACTGGGCACTGAAATCTCTTCAATCTCCATCTGCTCCTCAGATTCACCAGCTGTGTGAAATCAGATTCATTGTTAAAATCTGAGGCTAGATAACGCGGCCAATGCCCGTTATCAAGCCAGCAAATTAGTCCAGGTGCTACTAACACAGTATGCTGAAATAAATAAGACCCATGGCGGACAAATGTTCAGTTCCTAAAAAGAATTTCATTGTTTTTACCTTTCTCAGTTGGCTTTTTAGGTTCAGGCTTACTTCCTCCTTCTTGATCTGCACACAGATATTTGAGATATATTGTATTCAATTTTTGTCCTTGCATTCGACGAAGTGATTGATATTTTGGGAGGATCACTGAGGAAAAGGCATAACTTGAATATGCAAAATTGTTGAAACAGTCAGCTGTGTACTTTCATCACCTCTTAAAAACCTTTGTTGGAGGCCACCAATTTACCCTATCATTAACTTCCTTTTTTGCCTCCGTTACCATACTGGATGAGTGAGTCCCTATAGCTTACAAGTAGCTACCCCTGAACTTTACAAAAATGTAACTCTATCAAAGCAATGAACCAAAAATGACTAGAATCAAGCTGGTGCTGGCTTTGTATCAGAAATGTTTTACTACTTTCCATCAAATGTATCTTGACGTTATGGAAAGTGAAGTATTATGCCCACTGAAATCCGCAACAATCGCTCTATATTTCGATTACTGTATCGGAAGCTATAAGTTACAATAAAGAGGAGTGTCCATCATGACAAAGTTTGTTGTAAGTACCTTAACCGTCAATCAATAACGGTAATTTTTTAGACCCGTTTTTAAGTTAATTTCAATTGGAACGGATGGTTCCATAAAACTAGGCAATTCTCAACATCAGAAACTTCCATTAGTGTGTAGAGACACTCCTACTTACACAAGATGTCAACTATTACCTTCTTTCTGTCTTCTTCGTCGATACTGGCTCTCGCCATGATCAACAGTTACTGCAATAAAGAATACCACTCATTTAAATAAACTGCAAGTGGTTCCTGAAAGGCTCAACGTTAATAACACAGCTACGTCTTAGGTCTTTGACAACAGCAAACTTTCCAATAAGACTTTTTTTTAATTGCATTGGCCCATTAGGTTCAGTAACTGAGGGTGGGTTTTGTACCTTCCAGAAATAGTGGCTAACAAGCTGCTCTCGTAAAGTTTTCCATGAGACAGACTAAGAATATATGATCTGATTGGTAATTATGACTAAGCGTTAAAGTCTAGTAGCACCAGCCACCATTCGCTGGTTTGTAGAGTTATGAAATTTCCAACAAAAAGAAACACGAAAAATGAAAAGGTGTTTACCTTCCACAGTCTTTGTAGTGGCTGGTCTGATGTCAAAATCATCCTCATAATCTGTTTTAAGGAACAAGTAGAGTAAATCGTTTCATGATGCCTATGGTTCATGTTTTATTCTGAAATAAATTTCTCTACAAACCTATTTTACGTACGTTAGATTTCCATATGTATTCAATTATTCATTGATTTATGAAATATCACTGAGTTACAAAGCTAACATTTAAATCTGGAAGTTAATTTATGCGCATGGAAATCTGCCAAATACAATTATTAAGATGCATTGCCTTTCTTCCTTTTGGCGATTCTTATGACCAGGTGTAAAGTGCAATATGCAGTTGAAGTCACATGTTATAACTGTGACTTTTGCAGTACCACTCTTGTAAACAAAGTGGTTGTTTCTGCCTTCTTTTTATATTTCGTTCATAAATAGATTTTTTACCCGAGGAAGATGAACTCGCATGCCCTCCACAGGCTTGTTCAATCGCTGTCAACAAAGCAAAGAGTTTTCTTTAAGTTATTCTTCATACAATGTAACTGAAAACTGGCAACAATGAATGATCATTGTCAATATATACCTATCATATATATTTACTACAGCCTTGTCATATAGGAGATGTTGGTATCTACCTTCCATAATACACTCTACAGGTTATAGGTGGTAAAAGTGCCTATGGCAATTTATCACCAGAATGTCTGAAATAACTTGTCAACCAAACGTAATACAACCTAATTTCATTGCATTTGTGTCATATGGGAGATCCTTCCTTTATCTCTCCTTTCTCAAAACGTACTTACAGAAACTATCAGAGCAGAAAAGGAATGCTGAGGTTTCTAGGTATTTCAATTTGAAAGAGGCAATATGTGGTAGATTTACTGATTAGACTATACATACCTGGCAAGAGAGTTGAATTACAAAGTCAATTTCAGTATTGCTGTTAGCATCAAAAGTTCTCTATTTATTTACTGACCTGGTTGCTGAGCAGGCAATTCAGGGGCTTCCACTTCTTGGATTTCGTTGTGCTCTATTACCCGCATTTCAATTTGTTCTCCTATGGGGAAGGAAATGAAAAAAAAAAAGGAATTAAGAATGGAAAAAAGAAAGGAAAGAAAAGTATTACACACAGA